GATAGTCAAGATTATCATGATCACTCTCAGGCAGGTGCAGGAGATCATTTTTGCCTTCAACATCTTCCTCATCGTCGTCGGGCAAGCCCAAATCAACCAAATCCTCGAAAGCCAACGGTCTTAGATGTCGGGATTCAGACATGACTGATTGCGACCTTGGTTGAATATTCCGCCGGCGAATGGTAGCATTTGAAGGTTGCTGCTGTTGATGATGATGTGCCTGCCGCATATCTTGTTGAGTATCGGACGCCGAAGGCGGCGAAGACGACATATCCATGATACCAATATCGAGGTCTGGTGAGGATTCAGCCATCATGGAATCCTCCAATGTGATTCCCGTCAGTTCAATCTCATCTATGCCCGGTAAGGCGGACAACGCGGGTGTATGCGTATGGAGTTGTAGAGGATGGATACCTGAACTTTGAGAAATTTCTGGTGCGCCCATCCCTGAAAGACCCAATCCAAGGCCTTGCTGGGCGAACGGTTGCACGGGCTGATGCGTTCTCGCGCTAAAAATCAGATCACCGGCATAATCAGAGTGATGAGTAAATCCTCTGCCACTAGGAGCGCATGTTCCCATCCCTCCATCCATACTCATGCTACTGCTCATGGCTCCGCCTCCTACGCCTGCGGAAGCCCACTCATCTGAGAATGCCGACCGTGATTCATAGTCGTCTCCGAGACCAATGTCGGAGGAGAAGGAGATATTCTCGTAGGGAGTATATGACGATGAAGAGGAGAACGAGTTTGCGTGTGTGTGCGAGTGATAAGGATTGGAGGCACTTGGAGGAACGAGGTCGTATCGATCGAATACACCATGTTCATTACGCTCACTGGAATCGTTGTTGCCCGCGAGACTGAAATGACTGGACATTGGGTTCAACAGATCAGAGTTGAGTGCGTTAAGTGTTTGGAGAGAAAATGATGGAGGCGAGCTGAATGTGGAGAAAGGTGATGATGGTGATAAGTTTCCTCCCCCCCTTTCTATGAAGGTGGAAGACGAGGACACGATGCCACTATTTGCGTTATCGTTACTATTGTCTAATCGAGGATTAGGCGAAAACCAATCCTGCGTTCCCCAAGCTGACTTGCCAATCATCATAGTCATGCCTACATTGCTGCCATTGCTATTCTGAGGTGCAACGAAGTCATAGCTATACTCCTCAAGGGAAGTATCCATTATATCGGACACCTCGACAACATTATCGACTTCGTCGTCCGTAGCTGTTGTCGACGACGTCACGGGGGACGAGGAAAATGAAGAGAAAGACGACGGAGATGGTTTGTGACCCCAACCGAAAACATTGGAAGAAGAGAGGGAATTACTAACAGAGCGCGTCACGCGCATGGGTTTGAGCACCTCGTCGTCGTCTTCCTCTCCAGAACTCATTTCGTCCTCAGAAGGAGCATTGCTCTGCGGTACGCTCTTTGTACCGCCACGGAAAAGGCCCTGGGAGGTATTTCGCCTGCGACGGCGGGTCTGCATACGGACGGGACCCGTAGTGAACATTGCCAACGGGTCATCCGTAGCTGCACGAATCGGTTGTTTTCTTGGTGAGGTCGCAGGAGTACTGGGCCTTGAAGTGAATATCGGAGTTGAAGCTGTCGTTGCTGCTGTACTACTACTAGCAGTTACTATTGCCTTCTTTTTAACAGCCGTCCGAGGTTTATACCCAGCAGCTTGGTAAAGCTCAGGGAATGCATTTCTAAATCGATCCCGTAAATCAGTTGAGCGGCGGTTCTGTTCCTGGAATACAGGGTCTTTAACTATCGTCGCCCAGATAGTACCATGTTTTTCGTATCCAGCTTTCAGTGCTCGGTCTTCTTCCTCGGTGAATGGTCGGCGCTTCTTTGACCGCGTTTTCTCGAAAAGGGAGGAGCCATCCGGGAGAGTTGACCGTATTTTGGTGGAAAGATGTGTGCGAGCGTTCGGGTAATGCTGTTTGTAAGCGTCCGGGAAGTAGGTACGGAAGCTGTGGAGGATATGAGTTACGTGCATGAGGTAGCAAAAATCGGACACACCGATCCTTCAAGTCGACGGGAGATCTGTTGTCAAATTTTAATGTAGAATCACTGAGAATAGTCTTCCAATTTCCAACTCCATGCTAGAGCATGATATTGTCAACGAGGAGAAACATTGAAGCAAGAGTACTGCGCGCACCTTATTACAGCCATCCACAAGCATTTGAGTCTCTTCCTGAGTCCATTTCTTTCTGAGTTTCCTTTCATGCAACTCCTCTTCACCGTCAGTGGCAATCTTCCGCAACTTTCCCTTCTTTTCCTCGAGGCCGGTGTCGTCACGGAATGTCCATGCACTGGTGGGCACCACTCGTGGGGAAGACGGCAGAGCAAGGGAAACACGTCTTTGCTTCGAGGATCCGACGGCAGTAGAAGATGCAGGTAACAAGGGGGCTTTGAATGAGAATGTTTCGACTGACGGTGCTTTGAATTTGGGCAAAGGGGAGGACGTCGAGTCCTGGGTAAGCGTGACGGCCGCCGACGCCACCGTAGTCATTGTTCGAGTCTCTCTAGTCCTAGATAATCACTGTTAACGAGTTCTTCCTCTACAAAGTCCGAGAAGGATCAGCTAAGTTGGACCGCTGATAACGAATTGCCTAAACTGACAACTTCTGGGTGAATATTTGTTTGCTGAACAAGATGAAGAGCTGGGTGAAGGGTAAGAAACACTACAGGTTTTGTCCGGATTGCTGGATTTGTTGGAAAGTGGTGGTTACCGAAAGAGTTATTATGGCGATCAACAAAACGTCTCACACTCAATCATTTCTGAATTCATTGAATTTTCATTTATGAAACTGTACAGTTTTTACAGCTATGCCTGAGTTGTGCGGAGATACAGGTAGGCTTGCGGCAGCAGAAATGAACATAAAAACACTCCAACGAAGCCTCGTGTCTACAATGTGTATACGTCGTGTTCAAGGGACAGAAAGACCCGGAAAAACGACCAGTGGTTATGTATACTTATATATAGATAACATGTACATAACTTAGACAATATACCTTGCAATTTCATGAGCTGGAATACCATCCAGAATAATTTAGTTGTTGCTGCTTGCAAGACATTGCTAGATTGCATACTGTACTCATACATTTTGATGGCGATACGGAGACGCCTTATAGGGCCACCAAGAGGTAGTTTGGTTTTGTTTACATGAGCGGGCCGGTCAGTGACGCGGTCTCTTGGATTTCTATCATCTCTTCACATTTACTATCGCAAAATGTCTACACCTTCGATGGCCGTGGACACCCACCATCCAGCTCCGAAACTTGTTCTAGATGAGTTCATCGGAACATCAATTTCCTCGACACCTCAAGAACTACATCCGTTCTTAGAGTCGTTCAGGACTCTACATACACGCAAGTGAGCTTCAATCTACGCGAATCATGATTTTCGAGTCAAATCTCCATTTATGAAACTAGACTATGGCATCAACTCACCCTCAAGCTCTTCGAATTTGCAGACCACCCCTTGTCAAAACCATTTCAAGTAGATGTATTTGAGCGGTTTGTTACCGATTTTGAATCGAAGATGAACCAGCTTCGGTTGGTTGAGTTGGGTGTCAAGGTCTCCAAAGAGATTGACAGTATGTATTGCCAGGATAGTGGCAATGTTGTATCTATGAATCTCAATGACTTTTGATTGTAGATCCTCAAACCCACTTGACCTTCCTTACTTCCCTTCTCACCCGGATAAATAAAGAGACCTCTCCAGAGGCATACATCCTTCTCTACGCTAATATTGCTCACGCGAAGCTTCTTTATGGCGACCTTGAAGGAACGAAAGCTGACATGGACGAGGCCTGGAAGATTCTTGATAGTGTTGAAAGTGTCGAAAATGGCGTGAACGCAGCGTATTACGGTGTAGCGGCTGATTATTACAAGGTTCGTCATTACCGTTTCCCTTCTTTTGTTGAATTGAAACCATCGATCCTCATAGGCCAAAGCCGAATATGCACCCTACTACCGCAATTCCCTCCTTTACCTTGCATGTGTGGACCTTGCGACCGATATGACAGCTGAGGAGCGATTAGGACGCGCTCATGATTTGGGGATATCCGCGTTGCTTGGTGATACGATCTATAATTTTGGAGAGCTAGTGGGTTTTTGTTCCATCTGTACTTTCGCTTCACATCCGTGTCGTATTTACTAACGTTTCTTTTTTACAATCATAGTTAATGCACCCCATACTTGATGCTCTGGATGAAACACCATTTGAGTGGATCAAAAAATTACTCTTCACGTTTAACGAGGGTAGTATAGGCAAGTTTGAAGCCCTTGCGCCTCTGCTTCCGCAAGAAGTAGGTTTTCTTTCTTGTTCGATGTGCATTTCTTCTGTGCCGGCGTATGGGTTGACGCGTTTGATCTCCATCGCTGTATCAAGTGTTACTAACCCTTATCTGTATCCCCTACCTCTGTTTTAGCCAATTCTCCAAGAAAACTACCCCTTCCTCCGACAAAAGATTTGTCTTATGGCGCTCATCGAATCTGTATTCAAACGAAGTGCCGATAACCGTACAATGAGTTTTGCCACTATTGCGGAGGAGACAAGATTGCCGATTGATGAGGTTGAACATTTGGTCATGAAGGCTTTGAGGTGTGTGTCTCTTTTTTCTCTTCGGCCTTGCTTGACTTTCTCAAAATTGACTGTGTTGCCCTCGCAGTCTGAAACTTATCCGCGGCTCAATGGATCAAGTTGACCAGAAAGCGCAAATCTCCTGGGTTCAGCCTCGGGTGTTATCTCGCCAACAGATTGGTGGGTTAGCAAAGAGGCTGGAAAGCTGGGTGAACAAGTTGAACTTGGTTGAGCAGAGGATTGCACCGGAAATGTTGGCTAGTGCATAAGTTTATAAGTACAGATCTGTCATATTCGGTTAGAGGTCGTTGCTTGTCAACATACACATCCACATGATCGCGAAGGCCAATTTTGCTACGGTAACCACAGATGAATTAATAATCCAAGAAACAGGGCAAGGAAAAAAATTGGGGCGAATCCGGATTCGAACCGAAGACCCCCTGCAAAGGATGTGAAACCCAAAGCAGGTATCATACCTCTAGACCATACGCCCATACTCTATATTGGTAATATTGATATTTATCAACAACCCGGTACTCGGGCCTGATCCCGAATTCGACGATGGTGATGCGCACAGACCACTGTGGAGCTCCACATTTTGAGTTACGAACTGTTACTCAACGTTTCAACGTCCGTTCGTTACTCTTCAGGTTCCAAGTTCTCTCTCTATCTAAACATACGTGAAGAGTTCTTTCACGGAAAATGGCATCCATCCTTCGAATGTACAAGTGCGTACCTTATCTTATTTGTTACCCGATGACTTTTTCGTTGATTCTTGCATTGAAAAAATCCCAGTGTGGCCTTGCAACGGAAGCCGATGTTCACTCAATGCTGCACTGCCGCATTTTTATTTGGCGCAGGCGATATTATTGCCCAGCAAGGTGTTGAAGCAAAGGGAAAAAACCACGACGTCAGTTGCATATAAAAGAAATCTTTGTGAACTGGTACTGAAAATTTGGATGCTTTTAGTTTGCACGGACCGCGAGATTGACATTCTATGGTGGTCAGTGAAATCTCTATTCCTTTACCGGCGTTCACTTCAATCTTCCCCAACAGGTTGTCTCTTTGGACCGATCATGACAAAATGGTATCAATGGTTGAACACTATCAAGTTCTCTAGTCCAACCAGGGCAGTCGTATACCGGGTGCACGTTGATTGTTCTCGCTGGTTGCTATCTTACTCACACTCTTGAACTTGACAGGTATTCCTCGATCAGGCTGTACTTACGCCAGGTCAGCATTCGTAATTTTTTCGGTTTCTTGACACTAATTATCTCAAAGCGGCTGTTGGATTCTTCTTCGGCTCTATGAGTATCTTAGAGGGTAAGCCCAAGGAGGCTATTCCGAGGATTCAGGCTGTAAGAGGCAGATCGTTAACACTGGGTCCTCAATCTAATACATTGCTGATAGGCCTATGTCCCTACAATTATTCGTAACTGGGGCGTTTTTGTACCTACTCAAGTCATCAACTTTGCAGTCGTGCCCCACCATCTCCGATTCGTAGTTGTTAGCGTTGTCAGCTTATTCTGGAGTAAGTCGATCGGCCTTCCTATCATTCTAAATACTGACATTGGCTTCCTACAGACACGTACCTCAGCGTGGCTAATGCTCGTCAGACTAAAGCCTCTCACGTATTGGAAGCCCAAAAATCGAAGAGTGTAGATGAGTTCGAGGCAGAACTCGAGAAGAAGAGTGCATGAATCACAGGATGGATAGGTTTTGTGACACCAAAATAACATTGTGTGTAGCTCCTTTCCTGTTAACAAATTCCATATCGCTAACGTATGCAGCTCAGAAACTGAGTTCAGCTTCTGGATTGCACTTATCTTCGCGGTTATACTACGATTAGAACACTACCTTATCCTTCATCTATAGAACATCTTTATCCCCCAACACTTGCTCCAGTGCTCCCGCGGAAATTATCTGAACAGTAATCGACAGAGCAATATCTTGTGGCGATACCGTGTTAAGGTCTCACAAAGACAGCTCTGAAGACACTCAAGACCGATTTAATAGCTTCAGGCATGTGGCAGTAGCGGCGCAGCGGCGGCTCCGAGAAAACTACTTGCTGAACTCCTGGGCGAATCTCCTTGGATCATTTACAGAGAGATGAAGTTATCGCTATGCTCTCCTATATCCTTCCAACTTCTCCACTTGCTCCGTCTACAAGATGTTGGAGGATCCAGAAGTGTTGGGCTTCGAATCCATTGCTCTTCTAGAGCTGTTGTAACGAGGGAGATCTGACCAGGACATTTCCACTGCTGTCAACCAACACCGCCGACAAAGCCCAAGATAGGTGTTTGCCTGCATTTCGCTCATAGTCTTTTAGTAATGACATAGGAGGTGACTGGGTCTGGATGAGATATCTTGAAAGCCCATCAGACACAGTATCGATGTAGTGTTCGCTTCCTTTTACGTCCCGAGAGCTTCTCTCAAGCTTTTCATCATGCAACCTTGGAAGTTGGGAGCCCTTGGGATTGATAGCTCGAATCCTCGCCACGGACATGGAGTAGACGTAGGTCATAGTGGCTTTGTCTGCGGATATAAATACTTGTCAGATCCTTGCAGGCTCACCAGTTTCCTCTCCTATTGCTTTTTCGCCGTTCTGTTACGGGACCTTGATTAATCAATATCATTCGATATGATCACTGTCAGGAAGCCTTCTCATTTTAGAATACTCTTATTGGCATCACTTCTCGCTCTTCCTAGGGCCAATGCTCATGGACAAATTAAAGGTGTACTGGCAAATGGTATCTACAACGATGGACCTAACGTATGTTCTTCGCCCCTTTGTTTGTCCCTTTTTGCCTGTATTCTGACGACTGTCAGATATACTGGGACGCCGATCCAGTGAATGAGCAGACTGCTATCAGAAAGATGTACCAAGCTGCAGGCCCGTCTTACGTTCTGCCTCAGGATTTCGCTGACAATTCGTACGGTCAACTGTTTCCAAAGGATGTATAGATCCATTTTTAAAAAAGTTTTACACACAGAAAAATGGCTTGTGAAGGAGCTCTGGGTGCGCCCAAAACCATTACCGCCTCTGCAGGCAGCGTTGTAAGGGTCGACTGGGTTGGAGCCACTGCCGAGCTCGATGGCAAGCCTGGCACTGGGAACGTTCCACAAGGTCAAAATCCTTGGGTACACGCGTGAATATTTTTCTCCTTCGTTTTGGTGTCAGTATTGATACACCCCATCTGATTCTCGTAGAATGGGCACCATGGCGTCCTACATTGCTAAATGTACCAACGAGGATTGCACCACCTATGATGCCTCTCAAGCCTCCTGGGTCAAACTTGCCTTGTTCGGAATTGACAGATCGGAAACGATATCAGACGGCCTTCGCGAAACGATGCAGAATAAGCCTGAAGAGTACTATCCCACCCCGGGGACCAGCGGGCTCTGGGGTATGGCACGATTTGGTGAGGATTTCTCTCCTGGTCTAGAGACTGACTTGTAATCTTGCCTTTTGAAGTTGAGGCCGGCTCCTCTTGGACTATCACTATACCAGAAGGTCTTGCCAACGGACATTATATCATTCGTCAAGAAGTCTGTACCGTTGCACAATCCTACATATGGACTTGTACTCATAAATCTTCATTTTCTAGGTGGGAGCGATTCACAATCCTTGGAATGCTAAAGACGATACATCTGGCACGCAGCTGTATATTGGCTGTATTCAAATCGAAATTATAAACGGCGGAAACACGAAACTGCCTGGGGGAACGAAAGCCGGGTCGTAAGATATGATTTCGCTCATAGTGACTCACAGGAAAACTAAATCTAGGTCATTTTTGTTCGCCTTTCTATAGGTTATACGCAACCGACGGTGCTTTTGCTAGATACAATGTCTATGAAGACAACGGCAAGACGTTCGTCGACCCTGGTCCAACTCTCTGGCCTTCTCTATCTCATGCGAAGAGGGATGTATACGTGCCTTTTCAATCGAACGCAGTGAATGACTCTGCGGTGTACAATACAGACCTGAGCGAAAGGAGGATGAAGAAGGTGAAGAAGACGGTGTTGGTCTAATTCATCAGCGGATATCATAGGCGATGATGCTGAAGGCATACCCTCGATGTATCAGAACGCAGGCTGTTCAGACCCATTCGATTTCCCTCGTAGATAAATAGATGAGCCTTTTTTCTAGTTCGCTAATGAACTTTTTTTGAGACCAAGCGCATCCGAAAAGTCAAACCGCAGCAGCACTTTGGTGGCAGCGCTTCAAATTTTTGTTCCTTCATTCATAGACTATAACTCGATACCTCTTTTAGCAACTCCGAGTCAACCAAATATTTCCGAGTATCTAAAAAGGGATATTAGCTTTCATTTGTGTCCAGTGTTGGACGGTCACTAGGTTGGGTCGACAGGTCAAGGTGACATGCCACCTGACGGTCATGGCCATGAAAATCCGACCCGACCTTGACCAGTGGGTCACCATGGTCGCAAGTCGGGTCATGTTCTGACCTTACCTGCGACCTTGCCAACACTGTTTGTGTCACTCATTGCCAGCCCCCTTGCGTTGCCGTTGAAGAGAAACAAGCGCTGGTGCTGCATGGGCGCTTCGGATTACGGGCAGTAAAACAATCGCAAGGTGATGATGTTTCCCGAGTTGCATAGGCAAGGAAACAAGTGTTCGACTCACTGGTGAATCGAGTAATGCAAAGAAATTCCCAAACAACTCTACTCACTCCGTGAGGAGACGATGAATGACCAAGTCGAACTCTGAGGAAGATCTTCCTGTTAGCCCGAGTCAAGTCTAGGTCAAGTCCCTTCAAAACAAGTCTGTGATTGTTCTTAACAGGACGGTATTTCGAGTATTGTTGTGCCCTAAACTTACTGGTGCGGTTGAATATGGTATGTGGGATGCTCGCGCTCATATGCTGAATGTTATACTGATGGTGCTATGTATAGGTTGTATGTTTGTTTACAAACTCAAGAGCACTAGCTTCCCTCATAGCTTTCAGCGGGTTAGGGTATTGTCATGGGTTCTTTCAAATTGTTTTGACTTCAACCCTTCCTTTGATCATCGTCCCAGACCGAATACCCTCCCCGGTCTAATATCTCTCCGTCGATATCGAATAATGGAGCGCTAGCTTCAGTATAGGATTGCCGCGTACATCCCAGAGAAGCGAGCTTCTACATCCTGCAACGAGGTTACCTATAGGTAAGGGATTATGGATGAAGATCCGGTGTAAGCATTGTTGGAGTTGAAAGGAGGATGAGCAACCGACATTCATATCCTAATTTGACAAAATAACACCACTCAGTCTTGCTACAGGCTTCGATTGAATCCTGGTGACAATGTGAACAGTAACTGCTTGTATATATGCTGTCTTTGATTCTCGCTGAGACTAAGTGATGGGGCTAGAGATGTTTCGAGGCTTACGTTTCTTGTGTTTCCATCAAGTTCGTAAGAATAAATAATATAAACGGTGTATAATACGCATATGCAGATGTTCAAAGCTTGACGCTGTACTGAGAGTGTTACAT